CCAAATGGGCCAAAAGTGCAAAAAGCCCATGACAATTTCATTTCTTAATTCAACATTTGAAGACACGTTTTCTCTAAAAAGCCCTTGTTTGGTCCGGATTAAAATATGATTTTAATCTAAATCAAAGTCAAATAATCAATATTAACCACATCTTTCATGGGTCCCACAACTTTTCGACCACACATTTCAAATATTTCTATCATAATTTACTAAGAGTGTGTTTGAGCCACATTATTTTAAAAGAATGTATTCTGGAAAAGTAGATTGATGGAGAATGTGTGGTTAAAAATGAAGAAAAAGTTATTGATGTGATGTAAATATTATTTTATTGAAAAATGTGTGGTTGAAAATGAGTAGAAATTTGATCTCATTATTTGTGATCATGATTGTTGATTGTAATTTGTCATTTTCAATGTGGAAAAATAGTGAAAATTACACCATCTATTCTAATTATGTGTAGAATTTCAATTTTACTTTACAACTGTTTTGATTAATGAAATAGTGATATGAACAAGTAGATATTAAAAAAATATATAAATGTTCCAAATCTCACAATTTACGTCCAAATCTCATCTTCCAAATTAATCTTTCTATTAGGAATTTACTTAACATGCATATCGAAATTTAAACAATATTTCAATTCTCATAAATGCTTTGCTTTGTAGTTAAAAAGGAACCGTGATAAGAATTATACCTTTGTTGAGTTCTACAAACTCTTTTATTTATCTTAATCACGAACGTTCACGATCTGCAATTCAAAGATGTCCAATTATCCAGACTCTAATGAAAATTCACACAGGAAATAAGAATAAGAGAATTGTGATTTCTTTTTTCTTATGCTAGTAAAAGAATCAATGGTCTTTTCGTTTTCTCAACCCCAATATCTTATTACTAGAAGTGTAGTTGGATTTTGCCCGACACTTAAACTTAATCCGATACGATGTTTAATTAATTAAACTTGGTCAATTAATTAATTAATGTGATTAATTATTTTGGCACATTAATAAGTAACACAATTAATTAATTGTACAACTATTCAACACTTGTCAATTAATTAATTAGTAATATTATTCTTCTAATTCTCATTTTGTGTTTGAATCATTAGGTTCTCGATCACGGTACCTAATGACATGATTTATTATTTTAACGTAATCAAAATAACATAATTTAAAACAACATTTTTTATTTATCACTACTTCACCTGAATTAATTAATTCACATTCGTCGATTCAAATTAATATGTAGCAATGTGTCGGGCAACACATGTGACGAAAAATGTCACGTGGTATGACAGAATAAAAAATGTTCATTTACCATGAAACTATAATCCCTTCATCAATATGATCCGACTTATTACGAGATATGAAGTGCAACAATCTTGATTATCGATCATATCTTTAATTTCACTATTAAGTCAATGTAAGTTACGAACTCTTTCATACTTATTAGTACATCTTGGCCATGGATTTTGTTATCAACTTAACTGAATGAAATATACATCATAATCTTTTATTATTTAAGAGTAACGAATCATCTATTGATTATTCACAACCTTCATATGATTCTTGACATACCCAAACAATACCGTATTAGCGACTCTTGATAAAGCAACAACCAACATCACCAAAATACGACCGCAATCATATAAGGCACTATGATTACCTCAAGTTAAATGACCAATTCTGTTGACGTTCAAAATTGCATGAACAACATACAAGTCAACTTAAAGGGAAGTGAAAACTTCTTATTGATAACCACACGTGAATTACAAGTATAACTACAAGTGTGTTACTTTTGTTTCTTCAAGGAGATATTTGAAATATGATATGCAGATGAATTTTTTAGTGGAAGTCCATATATCTCCCGTTCTTTTCCTTTCCATTCTCCCTTTTATAGGGAAAAATTTGCATATATCCTGCTTTTCCCATCTTGTTAGCTACAGTGTCGAACTGGGGACGTACATCACTGGCATGTCTGGATTGGTTAACGAGCTCGACTTGTCAAGACATCATGGGTTTAACCTCACTGGTGGTCCCCAACAATTAATGAATTACTTAAGGGAGGAAGCTAAAGCATATGATTGGTAGATTTAACGGATGCTAATATAAGATCACCAATATGTCACTCACTGATTGACTGTTTTTACAATGTGCTAGAAACCAATAATCATTGTCCCTACAAGCCTCAATAAATATCTCAATCTGAGCTGACCTCGACTATCCCGAACTGACATTAGCACTAGCTCATCGAATATAGGAAATTGTAATTATCGACCTCGGAGTTCGGATGCCAACAGTTACCGCCCAGGTCAGTACTTACCTAGGTGATGGGCTGACCTTGTAAGTGATTGACACATTTTTCAATTTCTGTAATTATTACAGCAATAAATGAAGTGAACAGGTTCATGCTGTCTCTCGCCAATGAGTTGTCATGTACATTTGATTCCTTCTTTTGGAAGTTTCATCAAAACGACGTCGTCTCGAAGTGGTTAAATCAAGCCATTCATTTTCCCTCCATTTCTTTATCACACGGTCCAGATCACACCTCTTTATATTCCTTTCCTTTAAATAATTTTTACCTTTTCATTTCTTCACTTTTACTTTCATTTTCTCCAGTCTTTTTGCTTTCTCAAAGCACCTCGTTTGCATCCTTATTTGTTTTCTGAGTGAGTTCGTCTGCATTCAGGTATTTCTTCTCTAACAAAAAATTCCTGTCTTTTTCTTCGAGTTTTACTTCGGTTGTTCACATGAGCTCAGACGAATCAAGGATACATTCCTGGGGTAACCAACAAGAGGAAATAATGCATTCTTCATCTTCTCCTTCCTTTAGCTTTTCCTCCGCGAGCTCGGATTGTCAGGAGGTTTTAACACCAGTTCCCATCACTTCAATCTATCCAAAACAAATATCCCCTTTTAGGAACATGGATCAAACTCGTGAGAGGGAAGAAGTAAGGTCTCAGGGGTCTAGGGAGGAAAACACTCAAGAATGGGGGGCAGATGCTTATAGGTCAGTAGTTATAGGGGGTATGCTCGCTAGCCTGAGGGCCAAATTTGGCATCCCGAGTTCGGTAGAATTAGTAATACCAACCCCATCCGACCGAGCTAATACTCCACCAGCTGGATGTGTAGCTTTAAATTCATCTATTCTCCATGCTGGTTTAAGACTTCATTTCCCTATGATCATTCGTAAATTCCTATCTTCTTGGGGAATAGCTCCTACACAACTTTGTCCTAATGGGTAGAGGACTTTAGTGGAGACCTTAATTTTATGGAACCAATTAGGCCATCCTGAATTAAGTGTAGCTCTGTTCAACTCCCCTTTTACATTTAAGGAGGATGGGAAAAATTCAGGCTGGGGATATGCCAGCGTTAGACTTAGGAGGAGAGGTCCTTTAGTATTAGTTACTTCATCTTCAATAAAAAGGTGGAAAGAAAAATGTATTGGGGT